CTACGGGTATCAAAAGCCCCCAAAATTTACTTTCACCCCTTTGAAGGACCGTGCAGGATATAACAGAAATGCCCAAATTTTGGCCCAGTCCACAAACATTTGCCCCCAAACTTTGTCGTGGATAAGCCCGAAAATGCAATTTAAGGCCAGGGGACCACCAGTGGTACACAATATACTCAAGTCGGCATATGCTGGGACCCTGCTAGCCCGACCAGTGATATATAATAAACTGAAGTCAGTCGGCATATGCTGGGACCCTGCTGGCCTGACCAGTGATATATAATATACTGAAGTTAGTCAGCATATGCTGGGACCCTGCCGGCCTGCGCGATGCCTTTGATGCTGACTGAAAACCTGGAATGTGTGCACAGCTTATTTTCGTAACAAAATTTTGTCAATTTTCCGCTCTTTGAGGAATGGGATTTTTTCTTTTAATGATTACTTGAATGAAATATCAAAGAAAGGAGTAGCCCAAAAATAGTATCAAAAATGGTTGGGCATAAAAGCGACGTTATGCTCATAGTGCCGAATGTTTTGTCACCTTAAGTAGCAGTCGTGATCACGAGTCGATAACAGAATACCAATAGGATGACCTTTCAGTCTTTGACGCAGGAGTGTTAAGAGCTCTGCTCCGATGGAATTCAAAAACTCTTATATGTGCCATTTCTAAAGCCCAGATTTTATTCGACTCAAAAGCGAATTTAGAACATCCATGGAATGATCTTTAAGAACTGAAGTGATTGATGCAGCCTTGTAGATGCTACGTGGACCCAGCGCCCGGCCTTACAATGCAAAGCTCCTAAGTAACATTGGTAATGCACTTTTCTCTTGAAATTAATACCCGGTGTGTAATTGGCATTTTAAAATCACTCGGGCAAGGTTTAGCGAATCAGAGGCGTGGTTGAGCCACGGGAACGCTGGGCATAGGCCCCCTCGGGAATGATTCCTGCTCCACAGAGAATAGGGAACATGATTAACAACTTACTACTGCATTTGTCTATCCATTAAACGGCCTTGTTTGGGTTTAGACTTACCTCACGAGAGTTAATTAGTATCCGAGAGAGGAAATGATGGGAGATGTCGTTCATGAAGGACGAGTTTCTTTCGATTCTTTATCAACTGAAATTCGATGAAATTCTGAAAACATCCGAGTCTTCTCACGTTATTGAGCTTAATGGACTTTTATACAACAAAATGGAAAACTGTCTACCGATCATGCTGCATCAGGTAGGTCGTTTTTTTTTTCAAACTGAATTGTTACTGCGATAATTCTCATCCAAGTAATTACCATATATCGCACAGAAATTAATAATGATTGGCAGCTATAAAATGCATCGCAAAGTCAGCATAATGCGGTTGCATCTCTACTGTGATGCCACACTGTATCCTCCCATTTCGCAAGTCAGTTTGACCGTACGGATTCTATTTCTACGTGCAAGCTCATGCTTTGTGCACACCGATGTCGGTAAGCGACTCCTCACTACACGGACCAACCAATTACGACTTGGTCCCGTTGGTTACCGCAGTACATTTTGCATTTTGTTTGGGCGTACTGGGACAACACAGCATACTGTAACACGGTACCTATATCTACAATGTGAAACGAAAATCTGCTCTCGCTGAGCATGAATATGTTGACGTCTTCCCCACACCGAATCTTTTGCAAAAAAAATAAAACTAGCTGGGATGATGGTGTAAGATTGTGACATGTTTGCCCTTCAGTTTGTGCGATACTGATTGCATGACATCAGGGGTTTATAGTGAGACAGCAATGGGGTTGATGTGGACTACTCTCGTCTTTACATCGTTCATGATGGCAACAAAATGCGGTAAGTGTTATCTCATTGATTCAAATCCAAATGTACATCAACAGTCTTGCTTTCCAGTATCATTGCGCCTAAGATGGCTTCATCACTTTGTGCGAATTAGACTTGTTTTGAAAACTTTCCATGGCAGAAAAAGAGAATTCAAGGTTTGATACATTCTGGACTATAATTTTTGTAATTCGACCGAATTTGAAAATTGGCTGTTTTTTAATGGGGTATCGATTAATTTCTACTTCCACTTATTAAAACTTCACCTATTAGAATTTCATTAATTTCGTAGCTAATCCGAATTTTTTGTTTTTCTTAATTTCAACAAAATCCCAAGGCGCGATCTTCAGTATCCTTAACATTGCAATACCTTCTTGTCAAGAGCATCCATTATGTTGTCAATTTTGGTATTTGCAAATATAACTTTGGATTTCATTCGTTGTTTGTAACCATGTGATTGTTTACGTAAATACTTTCATTACTTAGGTATGTTTTTTACAGATTTTTCCTGGATGGCGAAGTACATTCTCTTTATACATGTATATTGTAAGAACGTTTAATTAATAGTTGTTTTAATTTGTACTTTATCGTAAATATTTCGTAAGCATCTTTATTTCGTAAGTTATAGGCCTAATGTTTTCAAATATCCTTTCCCTGTAGCGTCAAGTCGCGAACTAAGCAATCAGGACCGTCTTCTGAAGGATCTGCTTGCCAACTATGGTTACACCTCTATGCGACCTGTCTACAACTTGTCTCATCCAGTGACAGTAGAACTAGTCTTCGTACTCAGTCAAGTCATCGAGCTGGTCAGTAGGTGTTTTCTTTCAGTTAAGTTTCTCTATGGGGCCTATTGCTATAAATATGTATTGGCCAGTTGTTCGTTTACAACCGGCTGAAGAGAATGGACGCGACCAACACCGGAGCTGCAGGGCATATTTATTCCTATTTATCAATGCCTTTTGAGTAAGAAATGCAAAAAAATTTTAAAATTGGGATTAGAATTGCAGGGCGCATATATAAAGGTGTTGAGCACTCTGCCCCGACAGAATCCATACACTCAGAGATGCCATATCTTAAGCCCTGATTTTATTTGGCTCGAAAGTAAACTCAGTGTTGTGATATTCGATCAATATTCGTGTTGCGAAATTCGGAAGAGTTGAACGCATTTCATATCATGCAAATTTTGCTGCAAACGTGCAGTGACGTCAAATTCTGAACTGACTTGGCCTGAAGTGTGAACCGACTTTTATCCTGCCTATATCGACCACAGGTAACACGATGTTTTGGTTACTTAAAGGCCGGTACATAATTCAGGGCGAATGAAAAGCGAAACGAATTTGACGTCACGATAAGTTTGCTGCGACATTTCGTTGAAGTTGTAATTCCATGTAATTGTTCGCATGCAAATATACATGAAGTACAACAACACAACTAAATACGAAGAGAAAAGTAAACAACTTTACAAGGGACCTGATTTATCTGTGAGGTCATACGTTGTTATAAGTAATCTTCATTTGGTTTAAATACAGCGTAACAAACCGAACAACTCCCCGCACAACAAAACAGAACTCTATATCTTTACATCATTCATAAGCCAGATAGAGTGAGGAACAAAAGAGTTGGAAAATCGACTTCTTCTGGCCCTGCTTGACTGCCACCAGCTCCCACTTCCTAGCTTTATATAATGACCATACATTCGCAACGTGAATGTTTCATTTGACGTCACAAATTCGCGTTCGTGTTCACTTTCGCCGGCCGGCAGTGGGAATCGGCCTTCATGATTGTCTTCCTCTCTTTGCAATTTATCCTTATGTCTGAGAAAGGCAATACTTTCAAGGAGTGTAATTGTTTTCCCTGAGACCTATTGGGATTTAGCCTTTATTGAATTCTCCAAAGAGAACCAGTCTTCACACCAAAATGCCCCCTCGCTAAAGATACGTGCGGAGATTGGTGCTGATATCTTCTTCTTAATATTTCCTGCAGAATGAACGGCACCAGACGATTGAGATAAGTGCTTGGATAACGCAGGTAATGTATAGCCGCTAAAGCCGCTATTGTTTTAAAACTCTCCTTGGGTTTTGCTGTGTAACCAACGAACAGGATCTGCTATTGTTACGTCGCGGTTGTTTAGCTGGCCTTCGGGTATAAAGGTCAAATAATAGTTCACAATGCCTTTCAAATCTCACACAGTTATCAGAACAGCAGATAATGCGCGTATTACCGAATACTAATAACAACATGAATATACAGCCCTGTTTAAAACTAACAGGGAAAATTAACATTTTATAGGAATTGGAGGTAGAATTAAAAACACCCAAAGGATGATTTTTCTGCAAAACCTTGGCCGCCCATACAAATTGTAGGCAAAATGAGAACGGTCTAATCCGTGGTCTGTGTTCACAGCACCAACACAGGTCTGTGCTTACAGCACACGTTAGCACAAACAATGATTTTGACGCCTATGCTGACAGCCAGTGTTCCATTGTATGCAGTCTTTTTCCTTCCTTTCAATCATTTATTTCGAGTAGAAATAACTTGGTAGCTTAAAAGTTGTCATTTTTAATCTTAATTTACTAAAACAAAGCTTAAGGCAAAATGATAACTCACGTCTGCATTTCCAAGTTCTATAGTACAGCTGCGATAAATAGAAATGATTTTGACTCTTTGATAATGTCAACATCTCTGCAGAGATGGACTGATGAGTACATGAGGTGGAACCCGAATGATTATGGTGGAGTCGGTCGTATCTACGTGCACAAGTATATGATATGGCTGCCGGATATTACCCTATATAAAAGGTAAATTTGATGCCTCTTTTTATGATAAAAATCTGCTTTTGGGCATGAATCAGAGGTCTCTAAAGCGAAGTCACCCTTAAAGTGCTTTGTGTACATTTATGGGTTGCTATAAAAATGTTGAATGTGTGGTAGAGATCGCTGACCGTGCTTTCTTGTGACGATTAATTAGCCTAAAAGTAGATATTACTTAGCTCGCTCACCGAGTTCGTGTAGATTCCGAAGCGAAGGTTGATTTGAAAGTTAGGGTGTTGGTATTGCACCACTATAATAGTAGGGTTTTTCTCTCGGGACAATGACCTCTGACAAAAGTCATGCACTGATATGGCCTTTCCTTGACCCACGTAACGAGGAAAGTTTTGCCAAGCACTAGTTAAGCAAAAGTAAAAGAATGTAATCTCACAAAGTGGTAAAAAATCTGCAAAATCTGCATTATTAGGCAAACATTGTTTCCAGTCAAGGTTGAAATTTCTGGAAATGTTGGTCGTCTATGCAAATGATCGTTAATGCTTTGTGAACAAAAGAAGGGCTGAACATCAACTCAACGGCCACTATTGGGAAGTATTGGCTTGTGAATGGTTCCGTAGCAAGTGACCGGAACATTGGCTTAGCAAGGGCATAAAAGAGAGCTCTTCCCGATCATAGATGCAGTACATAACTGTCATTCTACCTGCCAAATATAATTACATACCGATATACATCATTACCCAGACCTCAAGGGGAGGAAATCTCATGAAACCTGCTCACTAGTTTGTTGGGCACTGCGTGCCTTGGTATCTATATTGTCAAAATGAACGAGTTCATGGGTAGAACTTCCGCTTGAGGGCAGGCTACCATGCAGCAGTTCGTGCGCGGATGTTCCGACGCACAAATAAGAGAGTTTGGCAGATGGCAGTCTGATACATTCCAAAAATATATCTGACTTTATAGTGATAAGCCGTGTCCGAATCACTTGGCTGTGGCTCGGCCACAACCATAGACTCGCGTGTGATTTCTAGCCGCAGCCAAGCAATTCGGATGCGGCCTTATTTGTTGTGTCATGTGAGCAAAGTTGGATCCATTTTCTACTATGTCGTTAACAATATAGTGTTGATGCAAACCTCGCGCCAGGCCACCTCTGGCATGCTGACCTCACACGAACACCTTTACAGATAATCAGAGTATCTTTCCCTTTAAATTTTACGGTCAAGTTTAAAGCGTCAGAGTTTGAATATCGTTAGTTATTTAACAAGATTCGTCTTCCAGTCTCAAGTAACATGGCAGCTAGAATCTCAAATAACAGCTTCCTTATATTTGTCGTTAACGGCGAAAAATGATTTTACAAACTGCCCCTAAACAGAACTTTGCATCCCAGACAAAATTAGTGTCAAAACAGCAACGCATTTTCGTCCACAACGTTTCCTGCATCTACTGCCAATCCATAAAAAGTAATTATCCTAGTCCATTACAGTCATGTATGATTAATCCTTTTCCCCTATGACCTGCACTTTTTAAAAAATCAATACGGTTTGTGTTCGAGTAATTCATGTTTGTGAGTTAATGGTAGGAATAATTTCACTCGGTCACAGAATGAAGGTATGATCTGTTCCACTATGACAAGCTTTTTTCGGCGATCTGAAAGGAAATGAGCAAGCAAAAAGAATGCCTAATGATTGGCGTAACGAAGTAGATATTTCTAGGAGGTCATGCAGGGTGTGTACATTTTTATTGTTTCGGGGACACCTAAAGCCGATGGACTGGGACTTGTAAATAAGTTAGTCTGGTTCCCTGAGCTGAGGATTACTGCAGACTCTTTATAAAATCTTAGGCCAGGTATCGCCCACGATTGAAATACAGTTTATGGTGCAAGATGTCATTGGTTACCAGGGAAACCCCGTCTTTGTTGTAAGCTATTTCATTTCATTTTTTTCGTTATCGGGATTACTTTAGATAACATTGTAAAGGCACAAGATGCTTACGATTTTTGTTAAATCGTAAGACATACAAAAACACCTAGACGTGTTGCAATGCGTTGTTCAGTTCTGTCGGTAGTTTCGGCACGATGTTGTCTTTGAATACAAAACAAAGCAACGTTAGCTTCACTATAAGCGTAAACTCGAGAATTCAAAGGTCCACCGCCATTACTACTCTATTTATGACAAGGACACTACTTTTTAAACGTATTTTACTTATTATGCATCCTCTGATCTGTACAAATAACCGCTGAAAATGTCCGACCAGCAACACTTCCAGCCGAATGTTGACGACAACGAGGTCGGAATATACGGGATGTTTTCGGAATTCCTGCGTTTTTTGTCACGTGACTTGGGTGATAACCTACCCTTGAATCGAAACAGATAGTCAGATGTATCGGGTCTGGCAACTAGACTAACAAGCTGTGCACATTTCAAATAGGGCAAGGGTACCCTGGGGGTATGGGGGCACATTCCCCTACCCCGTTGTGGTTATGCCACTGTGCCTGAGGATCATGTGGATCTTTTTTTCACCGTTGCCTTTCATGCATCAGCGTACATAGGCCTATAGTTAGGGTCAGCTCACAAGTTTTGAGGGTTTTTCAGGTAAATTGGTTATTTTCATCCCTTTTCATTTTTTTTTGCATTTCTCTTGCTTAAAAAAATCTTTTAAATGTTCTAATTTTTTAGTTCCTTTTCCGGGAGATATGTTTGCATATTGCTAAACTAGTGGTCATGCCAGTAAACCAGTCAAAGTACAATGCAGGGTCAAAGGCTGAGCCTGCATAGTCTGGTGTGCAGATGTCTATTACAGAGACTTACCGTAGCCCTGGGCTATGTACCGTGCTACTGCTGTGTCCAACTAGTATATTTGTTAAGTTCGGCAAGTCAGTAGCCTGGCTTATAGAGCCAAGTCGGCTTACGAAATTGCATTCGGCGGGGCAAGCCCTTTAGGTTGGCAGGGTCCGCCGCGCTTTTGGTGCTCCAAATGGCAGTGGCACGACACTGCTCTAGTAACTTCGGCATTGGCGCAAGTGCCGCACCATTGCTGTGCTATTGTTACACTCATTTTGATTAAGTTCGGCGCGACTGTAGCACAGCTTATAACCTAGGTGTAATTCTACTCTTGGTCTTTTTTTCTTTAATAGTCAGAAATGGGTCCTTTTTGTACACACCATGCAGTGCTGACCACGATTTCGAGAGTTATAAGGACATCCCCGTCAAGGTCGAAAGCAACGGGATGGTTACCTGGGCTGCCCCGGCCATCCTCAAGTGCACCTGCGTGATCGACGCCCTTCTCTTCCCCTTCGACACCCAGGTCTGCGAGGTGCGCTTTACATCGTGGGCGTTCAACGCAAACCAGCTTAATCTCACCAACATGACAGACGAACGGAAGAATTTCTACTCCGATGTCGGGGTATGGGAGCTGCTAGACGTGGTCGTCAAACAGAGAGAGAGTTACTACTTTGGGGAGAGTTACGTGGAGTTGTCGTACTTCATCCACCTGCGGCGCAAACCTTTATTCTACCTGCTACAGATTATTGTACCGTGTGTCCTCTTCTCATTTCTGAACCTGATGGTGTTTGTCCTGCCCCCAGAGTCAGGGGAGAAGATATCACTAGGGGTGACCAACCTGCTTTCGTTGATCGTGTTCAACCAGTTGATCAGCGGTAGCCTTCCGCCGACAGCGTACAACAGACCGATAATTGGTGAGTGAACGCTTGAAATGCACTTTATTTTCATGTGTCCTTGCCATGGCTTTTTCTCGAACACAATGTACTTTTCCTCGATGCAACTATTTGACATCCTTTTTGGAATTATATGTATTGAAAAGTGCACTTTCAAACATTAAAACTTGTTCAGGTTTCTCTGGACAACTGAGGGTGCTGTTGCCTTGACGTTAGTGAGGGGAAACCATAGGCATAAAGTCCCTGTGGACGGACAGTGCGTTGTTAGTTCTGGGTGCCTTAATTTTGACTGCGCCCGACCTAAGGTAAAGTCGCGCTACCGGTAAAGTCGCGTTACCGTCGGGTCAGGGATTGGGACAGCGCCGTCCATGACTCCGCCAGGCGGGTGTTCGCACAAATCGATGCGTCACCAAGGTTTTCTCCCTTGGGTGGCGTCACGGTTTCCCTCATGAATATGGAAATACTCTTTAGCATAAAAAGACGCAAATATACCTTTCCAAATGGCAAAACAAAAATTGAAACGAGGTCAATAATTTTAAGAACACAAAGGTATAGTTTCAAGGGTTGCAGTAATGTATATACCGTTACACACTGTAAAAAACGCTGGGCTATTTTTACCCTTCGTTAGTTGAATTGAGTAACTGTTGGGCAAACAGATCACTCAACCGCGTTGATGTGGGCAAACGTGTCTCATTTTACCCAACTATAATAGAATATGTTATTTGTACTACCACCTTTTACCCAGAGTATCGATCTTGTTGCCCAGCAGTTCAGCAATTCACCTGGTATCCAACGTTGGGTTGAAAAAAAGCCCAGCGCTTTTACATGAACCATTTAAATACACCTGTCTAACACAACTAGAGAGCCACACCAAATTTTGCTCTAAAAACCGCGCTTGTTCTTGCAATTTAGTTCACAGTTTCATTTTCTCAGGTAATCTAGTACTATTTTTGCGCCTCGTCCTCTGACTCCTTATACAAAGGGGGAAGAATTGGGGAAGTTGTAGAGAAAACCAGCCGCAGAAAGCGCTATATACTACTGAACGGTATAACATGAATTAATCCTAGGTATAACTCCTTTGTCCTTTTCGTCTGTAGGCTATTACTTTACTCCGATGATAGTTCTTGCCTGCACTTCTGTCGTGTGCACCGTGATTGTAATTAGGCTGTATTACCGCGACAGTAGTCAACCAATTCCCCGCGGGGTTGAGTACTTCGTGTTCACAGTTCTATCAAAGCTGGTATGTCGTCGCAGCTTGGGCAACATCTCTCCGAATGGCGCTAAATCCCGAAAGGGAGGCATAGCATCCCCCAGCCACCAGCTGGAGAGACTGGATTCCAGGATCTGCAGGCCGGTCGACTCAGTTCGACTAAGAACCGAGAATGGTGTTGGAGCCCCGCCCGTAAAGTCGCGCTACCGTGGGGTCAGGGATTGGGACAGCGCCGTCCATGACTCCGCCAGGCGGGTGTTCGCAGCGGCCCACTCCAAGACACTGGATTCTCCCGTTATGAAAGCCAGGCAACGCATGTTCGACGGCAAGGCGGAGACTACATACGAGCCGCAGCAGACTCGAGCATCACAGTCAGGTGTCCGTCACACCTGGCAGGAGGTGGCGTTGGTGCTTGACCGGACAGTACTAATTTTATCGTTAATTATAACTCTGAGTTCAATAACTTGTACTGTTGTCTTGTTTCTTACTTATCTCCATTCCATATAACCTTAAACCGTTCCTATGTATATATCTTTGCCAATTTCTTTTCGGTTCTGTGATGCAAACAGTCTTCGGTTAAATTCTGCTGGGTGCGCTCAAGGTATCTTTTCTTTGTGCGTTTATGGGCACAACCCAAAAAGTAGCGGGAACTTAAAGCTCCTGATTTGTGTATCAAACTTTGAAATCCTTCACAATGCAACTTTTTGTGAAATAAACCCAGAAATCCTTCACGATGCAACTTTCTGTGAAACAAAAACCCTTATAGGTCAAACATCATTTTATACTTATTCGTTGTTAATAAGAGAAAAGACTTTTTCGCTGTGCTGTATAAGTGAGATTTGTACTTACATAATATCTGTTATTCTAGTCTAGCGCTGTAATTGATCTCAATAAGATTCAATATTTAAGGAGAAAACACTTCTTTTATCGATAGGGTTTAACCAAACGTTATCAATGTTAAGCTGTGCAAGTGTACAAGTAAGAAAAATATTATACCACATTAAGGATCCCACAGTTGACGACTTGGCAGGCTCCGCAACGAAGGAAGACTTCATGGATAGTGAAAACAGTTCCTTGACGGTAGGAATCAGCCGGAACGCGGGGGTGAATTCACCCCTACCATACGGCCGGTAATAGATGAAACAATGACGGGCGTCAGCTGATAGAAAACTTGAATACTGAACTGTAGAGTCAGTTCACAAAATGTCTTTCCCAGAACTAGATTCAGTTCTCAAGCAACTTCCTCAGTCAAGTTGAACTTTCTGTAATCGCTCCACAGACGAGTCACAAGCATGTAGATCAGGGTCCTGATTAAGTTTAGAGCAAAATTGAATTGAAATTGTTTCTCACCGCGAGCTCTTGTTCTCACGGGTCTCTGGCCAAACAGAGAGACCGTATGACTCAGTCAACTTTATATCCATGGGCCATCTCCGCTGCCGCCAAATACCCATTTACCTTCGGTTCCAACTAGGTTTCCTCCCAACGTTTTTATTTTAATCCCATGTCACTGAGTGGGGTAAATTAAACAAATGAGTGAGTTACGACATGCAAATACGCGTTACCTAGATTTTGTTTAATGGAGGACAACTACCACGCCCGTTGTGATTTGTACGTTGTAAACAACTTACGTTAAAGGGGCAGTTTGAGCCGACTGCTTTTAAAGGAAACATGTCATAATTATATACTATAACCCATTTCACCACATAAAAATCCATGTTGCTGCCATACATACGTAGATGACTGAATAAACCAGGCAACATGCACTATGTATACTTGTCACTTGTTTTTACACTGAGAACCATGATGGTCTTTGGCTTCTAGCTGAGTACAGAAAATGTTTTTATTGGTACACAGCACAATACCTCGCTTAAATTAGTGTCGAGACACTGCATGGTGTTCGCGGAAGGAGTGTGTACATGTGCATGTATATTTTGTTTTTCCTTTGACGCTCCATACATGCTTGTATATGATGCACTGAGTGCGGTAGGTACATACGGTACTGGTCAGTTCGGTGTTAATGCCGTAACGTGGATTGCGACTGTCGCATGTTGGGGTAAAACCGTATCACACATAAACGTTCTCAGGGCTATGTTCGTACAGGTGACAACACCCTACTTTTTCTTTACAGGCAATGTCTTCTTATAGCAGGGTCGGTAGAAAAAAAAGACTTTTTTGTTCGAGGTCGGGAGCCAAAAATGGGGTCAGTCGGAAATGGGAACCATAGAAATTAAAAAGGTTGCTCTGATGTACATGCTTGGTTGAACTAAAAGCTTCACTCTTGAAAATTGTTTGCACGCACATTGTTTGTTCACGCAAAAATTCAGATAAGCCTAATGCAAGCCTGTAAGGAGTTTCCTATACGCTTTTATAAATAATACGTTGTTAAACGTACCCACACTAATGTCAAACTAGATAAATGTAATTATGATATTTACATCTTTTGAATATTTGATGTCTACAGTCCATGAACGAATATAAATTTATCAATTATTCACACTGGGGGAGCGCAGAGTGGTCTTATTTCCTCATTAAAATCAATGATAACCTGAGGGGGAACTGGGCTGAATCTAAAGTATGTATAATAAGGCAGTTCTACTTGTCAGCAAGCATGCACTAACAAAGATTAAACTAAGTATAGATTTCGATTCTTATAGATATATATTTTAAATATAATTCAGTACGTGTCGGATCGTTAAGAACTCGTTATTTCTATTCTACTCCGTGCTATAAAATATGGAATACGTGTAAATAATTAAACTAAGCGCGTTTGCTCCAGGAACATTTAGCCTGTCATCACTTTAGAATTGTTACCTGAACAGCTGGCACCTAACACAATACAACGTCAAGTAGTATCACATGCAATCCTGTCTCAGTGAGTGTACAGGCGGCTATGCATTTGTACATTTTTGGGTCCATTCCCTACAGCCGTTTACTGCGTTTCACTCGTGCATTTTGGACCTCAAGTACTCACAAATACGGACCACAACAAGCACTGAAAATGTTGGTCGGGAAAGGCACAGTTAAATTACGTAGAAGTGTGATAACATCGGGAAAAAAAGTCCGGATTTGTTCCAAGGTAAAGTTTTATGATACACCGGCATAGTTTTGACTGATCTGTCTGTCTCTTCGTAACTTCTCCAGTACAGTCACAGATCGATACCGACTGCGGTTTATTTTAAGGACCATGCAGTAGTTATTCCAAGTGACTATTAGGAAGAAGAAAGAAGAGGACAGTTATCAACATCGCGGCGAAAGTGACAATCAAGGACAATATCATGGTTCCGCGGTCGATAATCAAAGCCACATCCTTCCAGTCTACAGTCTGGTTCCCGCCAGAGCATGCTATCTCTGCTTTTGCCTGAGGGGTGTCTGCTGTTTCCTTTGCCTCATTCGCGGGTGCGGCTTCGCCCCCGTTGGCCGAGTACACCTTTTGCGTGAAGTGCATGCTGTAGGCGGTCGCCCGGCAGCGCATGTTCGCCTTGCGCTGGCCAGCATCCAAGCTGGCGCCGTCATCAGCCGCGCCTGCTCCGAATGCCTCCTCGGAGTTGACGGACCGGGACGAATCGGTGAAGCTGCAGGTCGCCGTCAGCACCCCTGAATCCGAGTCCTGGAAACGCTGGCCCGTGACCTCTCCCTCTAGGCTGTAGCTTGGGTTGCTGGTGCCGCCGCGGTCATCCAGTGGTGGAGGTTGAACTTTGACCCTGTAGAAGACCACGGTGGCCATCTTCAGAGCGACGTAGCGCAACCAGCGAGGCACGGGACGGGAGTTATCGTGGTAGAACAAGCTAAGCACGAGCACTGTGCATACGATAGAGCTGCAGCCAATGGCGATCATTGGTGTAAAGTAAAAACCTGTTCACAATAACAGGAAAACGGTTTGGTCAAGATGCAGGCACGACAATTCCTCATCGACCCCCCCCCCGTCAAATATATGTAAAATTACCAAGTGCATCCTGATGTTTGCTCCTCCCCCTGAACTGTATTTTCGTTCAATAAAATGGCGTCAGATGAACATTATGATTTTAGCAGATCTTATCTAGTCAGCAGTCAGATTGATTCAAAAATTCAACGACAATATTATTCGTCATTCCATTTTTTAAATGAAATTTTATAACATAAATCCGATTAGCTGCCTTGTACAGTCTGCACCCTCATTGTGCACAAACGTAGGACAATTCTTAAATCAGCTTTGTTCATTCACAAGATGAACTCTCAACAAGTCTTACCAATAACTGGTGATTTGTCCGAGGTGGGAGGCAAGGATTCGCTGATCAGCTGCTGGAACAAGACCAGCGCCAACAGATTGGTCATGCCCAGCTGAATCTTCTCCCCGGACTCCGGAGGCAGCGAGAACACCATCAGGTTTAAGACTGACAGTAGTACGCACGGCACCAGGATATTGAGGACGTGGAACAGCGGCCGGCGCCTCAGGTGCAGGTAGTAGGAAACCTCTGGGTAAGGCGCCGGACAGCAGGCGTACCACTGTTCCTGCCTGACCACCTCCACTCGTAGCAGTTGCCACACGCCATTGTCGGCGAAGTGGACCTGGCCTGCCTCCAGCCCTTCCTCTTTGACCAGGTCCACCTCGGAACCGTCGAAGGCCCAGGAGGAGAACTTGAGTTCGCAGACCTGCGTGTCGAAGGGGAAGAGGCGGGCGTCGATCAGGCAGGTGCACTTGAGGATGACCGGGGTGGCCCAGCGGACCTCTCCGCTACTGAAGACTTGGACCGAGATGTCCTTGTAGCTTTCGAAATCTTTGTCCACACTGGAAGAAACAATTTTTTTAACGGTGGTGAGTCAAAGTCAGCTGGTCTAAGAACGAACAAAATATTTGCAAAAGGAAAAAAGGCAGCATAGTTCCAACAAGGAAACTAAAGTTTCAAAATGGCATGTACGTGTATACGTGAACAGAGTGTCGTGCTTACGTACTTTTTATACAGCGTCGTGTCTGGTAGCCAGACTTTGGACTGGTGTACGTAAAGCTCGTCCACTTCTTCATAGTCAGCTGGGTCCCACTTTAGAAATTCATCTTCCCAAGTCTGACGAAACAGGAATAAGTACAAGCAATGAGCCAATGTCAAACACAGCAGTTGAATTCAGTTGGAAATGGCATCCTATCTTCTCAAGCTCTCTCTGCAGTAAAAAAAAACACCAGCTTACATGAAAATAATACTGAGTAAGTGGCTTTCCTTGCTGGTCTGCGCATGGCAAGTTTCAGTACGTTTTATTGAGGGCGGGTATGTTTTACTGGTCAATTTCCCCCTTTTTTCCCACGGAACGTATACCACTATTGTGTATACCCCCCAACATCTCTGATGACTCTGAACATGAATATTACGTCTGTTTGAGGTTCGCCAGACACATCTGCCCGATTACATTGCAAGGGTGTTCTTCGAATTCTTTTATTGCTTCATCACAACCACCTATGTCTTTGCTAATGTATTTTCCCCAAAAGAGCCAGGGCAGCGTCCAGCCCCCTTCGCACATTTTTTTTCCGATATTGTTGCAGTGCATGTTTTCACGCGTCTAGCCCTCACTGTGTTTAGTAATGCCTTCCAGTTATCTTGACACCAGTTTTAGGGAAAATTGATTCTACAGTATTCGCGCGGCGCCCATTTTGTTCAAGATAAGCCAGCCATTACTTTTTCCATTGACGTGCTCTGTGCACGCGGGCTGACACAGGTGTGGCCTTGAGCTTAAAATAGTATTAAAAACAAAACACTGCGTTGGATGAAATTGAGACTTCACAATTGTATTGATAATGAGTGTCATCACATGCTTGCCGAGTTTTTCAAAATTGGAAATAGGACAGCCGAGTTTGTAGGCGAATGAACTAGCTGTGAGGTGGCCAGAAACAAAACATTTAGAGAATAATGATAAGCGCTCTTTAACCTCTCATTAGAAGTGTAATGAAAACAGCTATCCCTTTCATATCTGCGTTTTGTTGGCGTCCTGAGTTCGAGCTTCCCTCCCCTTCCGGGTGACGCCCACGATGCCTCAACATTTGAGTTCGTCATCATTCAGCCCGTTTGCTTGATCTTTCTGCCTTGGTTTGTCCACGTAAGCGAATACCTTTTACTAAGGGGACGTATTGCAAGGCAGGTCCTTGACTGAGTTTAGTTGTGTAGACCCTAGAACCCACTCACCTGACGGAGCCAGCCGCTGATTTGTATCGTCTGGTGTTTCTCATTCTGAAAGAGAAATCAGCAATACTGCCTTAACGCACTGCGAAGGTCGTGGAGTAAATTTTGCACCCTCGGTGTCCATCGACAATATCATTTCGGTATTGTCCAACACGAACACCAGTTTAAACAAAATATTTTAAAGCGTGGAATACTTGCAACTGAAGCGTTTTTAAACACTGTCATACAAAATCATAATTTTTAACAAAACCCTGCTGAGAAAACCGATTTTTCTGACCCAATTTTCGTGAAGAGTTATCCATGAGTGGACGCAAGATACATTACTCTGATGACACCACCAAAATGATGATGCATCGCAAAAGGTTCTAAAGACAGTGCAGGTTCTTGGCCAGTTCACTCCGATATAAAATTATGTGCACAATTTTGCATTTTCTGAAGTGCAAGCTAGCAATAACCACTACCAAAACAACCAACCTTGACCGTCCTAATAGATTTTTTTTATTGATTAATTTTCTTTATCCAACTGTAGCCCTGTTAATGGAACCTTTTAATTAAAAAAGGGTCAGCGATTGTCTTGCCGGAACTAATGCAATCTCGTTCCTAGAATTAATGTAAGATTTGTTTGTCCAGGCCGAAGAAAATCCCACCGCGAAGCCTCGACTAATCCTCAAGAGATACTTTCGCAGCTGAGGACAGAGTATCTCACTACATGCCTGACCATCAACTCAAACGAATGAAATTCCCAAATGACTGGGAAATCTTAATAAGAAAGAATGGGCAGATTGTGCTCGACTAATATAGCTGCTAAATTGGACTGATGCACGAGAGGCCCGATTGGAATGGCATGTGGGGTACCCTAAACCAATTACGTGAGAGAAGAAGGGTTAAGGGGCGGGAATTGGTTTTCAAAATCTTTATGAAAGGTAACACCCTCCTCGATCGCGCCCTTTTGGGCTGTAAAACACACTCCTTACAAAAGGATTGTATTTGGAAAAATAATTTTAAAATAGAATATAATTCTTCCCACAACTGTACCCTTATGTGCACTTTTGTGATTGTTGAGGGGAGGAATTTTGATGGTCAAAATTTTGACTCTCGGAGCTAGTGGTTGGAGCCCGCGTTGTACGGGAAACATAATATTTATATAGCAATAGTTGTAGTTCTGGGCACATTAGGCCTACATTTCCTTCAAAATACATTCACACAAAGTTAACATCGTATGTGCGAGTCACTTTGAGGTCTTTACTGATCGAATGAGCCCAAAAATCTAGTATAGAGTACCGAAGTGATTACGTCACGCGCACATCTAGTGTGTAAACGGCATGAGCTCGTAAACCAGCGCGTGAACCAACACGCGCGCGTACTCCATTCGTTTGCACTGCACTCTCTGGTTCACAGTAACGTCACACTTCGGTACTCTATTGTTTCATAACAGCAGATTTCACTCTCTACTATTGTGGCATTATTGTTATAACTGTATTGTTTACGAGCTGGCAATGGTAACTTGGCTACCACTTGCGGCTGTAGGACCATTACACACACGCGCGGAAACGGAATATAATGCTTTAAGACTGTGTAAAGGAGCCAGTTCGGTGTTCCAACAGCGCATGCTCAGTACGAAGCTGTTTAGGATGGTCTGTCCTACCCACAGATAAACGCATAGACCACCAGATCCTATTCAAAACTACAGGAGAATTCCGTGACCTGCGCGGCACCCGACTAAACTCAAAACTATAGGCAACTTCACCCCTCGGTATAGGGAATTTAGGCACTTGAAGAATTCCAGCCCAAAAAATCCACGAAGCCGTTTTGTTATTTTGAAAAATCTTGGCCCATGTAGATTCAAAACGATGCTTTTGCAACATTTGAAAAGAAGAGATGGTTGACGTATTTTGGGAGCACATGTAAACAAATACAGGCAATGTAAGTGCATTGCGCGTAATGCGGTCACTCTGTAATCCATTTGGGGCAAGAGACGCCTTGAAATAATACACTACTCTGAATGGATAAGAACGGCACAAAGGAACCAGTCCATCCCAGATAAGATGGTCGCTATGCAAAAGCTTGCCCCGAATCACGAGGTATAGCAACAGTGTCTTTAGTCTGGAGAATTCAAATTTTAACGTTTCTGCGTTTTTATTTTTTTTTAATTTTATTCAAATTTAACTCGCAAGTGGCTTATTCTTAATACGATCAGACGATTGAAAGTAAGCAGTCAAGACACCAAGTACACAAAGGTATTGTAAATTTAAGCTTGTCAGGCTGCAAATTTTTGTGGAAGAGTCTTTCAGGATGACTCAACATATAAAATCAGAAGAAAAATAACGGCAATTTACCTCGAACTAACGTACCTGCGATGGTCGTGTATCTGCATGTGCAGTGGGCGTGGTTTAAACTGAAGTGGGGTTACACTTTCGAACCGGATAGCATGTACTGAGCCTTGGTTTTGAAGCGGAAATGCGCAGACGGCGCTAATGTGAAATCCCTCTATTAATGCTGTACAGCGATTTCGACTGTCTGTGCATTGACTTTGGGCGAAATAGTATCGCACATGTACATTTTTAGCGCTGTTTGTACATGACATCACGCCCTACCTTTTCATATGCATAATGTCCTCTGAGAAGGGTTGGTGGAACACGAGGCCCTTTTTCCGAAGTCGGAAACCAAAAATGGGGTTGGTCGGAAATGAGAACCATAGAATTTCGAAGGAATTACCTCACCTACTAGTCTCGGACCCGTTACCATTACCGCCGGACATTTGTAAATTATTTTGTGCCGGAAATTTGGGCGATGGGGATGGAAATTTGTGGGGGGGTCGACTGCCCGGCCATGGATATTGGGGGGTGACACTATATGACATTATAGTGGAGTGATGTTTGTGATACAGATGTATTATCTGTATTGTATATTACATTCATGCCGAATCTTACATCGGAATGGCATATTTATTGCTGTCTATTGTTAGTTTTAGCCGTTAGGAGGTCAAAATAAGTCTTCTCAGTCCCCTTTATTTTTTGCTCAGCACAAAAAGTGGAGGACGATTCAATAGCCTACCCCACCTCAAAAAGATTTGGGGGGGGGGAATATATACCTCATCGCCCGCGTGATTTACGGCTGCGTGACAACCACTACTACATTCACACAGCATCTCCACGAAACTATCCAGCATTCAAGTTGTAAATGAAAGAAGTTTCTGGCCAAAAATGCAGATAAAAAAGGAGTTCAGTCACTCCAGCTGTCATTTGAAAATTTGAAATCGCGGGCTGAAAAAATAACGAGAAGGGGGAAAGAAAGAGGAGACAAAACGAACTGCAAGTGGCTCAAATGATCAGCGGGAGCGTCCAGGCATGCTCATTGTTCCCGCCTGTATTCACTACCACTGACTACTGGAATACGTATTACTCAACCTTCAAAACGGCTGCCTCGTCAGATATGAATAAACACTCCATGGCGTAAGGTTGGTTTTCTTTCACTCAACCTCTGACATTAAGAGAAACAGAATAACTTAATTCACTGAATTTTTGGCAGTTCCAGTGTGGTGTGAACATTAAGTACCACTTATACCATATCATTTAAAAAATACTTTTCGTCGAGGAAGGACATTGATAATCACAGGTGAAAATGTGTGATTAACCTTTCCTCATTTTGAATGAGGATCTATCCTCGGCGATATTGCGATATTTCAGTAAGGTCACGATCAGACGATCTTAGGTTGACACTAGACGATGACTTATTTTAAGCAGTATACAGATGGTAAAGCGGCATGCAGTCGCACAGTGCGCTGGCATTTTCACTGTCTGCTAAACATTTTCACTGATCCCCGTGCAGAGTTTCATAAAAACCTATCCTCAGAATTCCTTAAAAAACAAAACAAAGCAAAACAGGCCAGTGGGCTTTATTCACAAGATATTACGTTTGAATCGTGCTCCCCGAATTCACTTTATGTGTAGGTGCAATGAACTTAATTTTCTTAGAAACGATTTTTGGGGAACTTTGTTCTCTTCTTCAATTTATGAAAATCTTTGACATCCATATTTGGTTAATGCGATGAAAAGTGCACTTTACAAAAAACTTTCAAATTATTCACGCTTTCCAGGGCAAATGGAGGCACATTTGCTGTGATGTCATCCAGGGAATATAAAGTTCAGTGCATAGGTTTTTGTGTTCAAATTGTGAACCCAAAATTTACTTACTGAAAACATTTCTGAACAAGGAATTGGTGTTAGCTTATTGCTATGCACATAAACAACAACGAATCAGCAACGAAGAGAAAATTTAGTCCAGCCAAATTAACAAAAATGTAGAACTTGTTTGCGTACAAACCAATGGAACACTGAGGCTTTCTTCCTGAGATGACATCACAGTTTTGCTCATGAAGATCGAAATATGAGCATTAAAACCAAAAATGCAATAAAATACTCTTTTAAATAGTGACAAAAGTCGAAAATAAGGTTAAGTGAGACATGAAGGTGCATTTTGAATATTTGTATCAAAACAAATTGATTGCAGCTACCCTATAAACAATTTCATATACGAAGGGGCCTGACTGCTTGCTACAAGTATTATAGCTATAACCTCGTCTTGCTAAATTACTTTTGGGCGCTTTTTCTGGTGAACATTTTTATTGATCCCCGTTTTCGTGTGGAAAATAAAGATTCACATTACTTTTCATCAATAATTTGGAATCACCCATCAGATGGTGATCGGTAATTTGCGCCATTACATCATCGCTATTTCCGCATATATTAAGATTTTCTTTTAACAGATAGCCTGACTTTCAGTTTAAGATAACCGACTTGTGGATAAGGCTAAAATCAACACGCGAAATTGCCCCGAGAGCCTTTAGCATGTTCACTACTTTTTCTTAAGACCGTTTCATACTTGACGCAAAAGCGAACAAAGACGCGATTTTTGAAATATTCTCACTCCGCATTCACAAAAGTTGAACACATTTCAACTTGAGCGTAATTTACTGCCAAAGTTTTGTGACTCGCTTTGCTTTCGCATTAAAACTCACAATGGGTTAATGGTAATGGACTTACCAGTTCGATGACTTGAGTGATGAGTAAGCGATGAATGACTGTCGTTTTGCGGGAAATGTTATAGACGGGCCGTATAGTACTCGGCCCGTACTCTGAGAGAAGCTTTTCAAGCAGGATTGACTGTGTGCTCTTCTTCCCAACAGATCCTAGGGGAAACAAAACATTAGATATTGACAAAAATTTTACAACGCATTTGGGAGAAAACAAATGCACATAATGCGTCGAAAACTATGCTGGTAAATCTGCACATTTCCTACCTTTCATTCCGAATTCGCCCATGGTGACTTGTGGATTGAATTTTTATCCCCGACCTGGGGCTTTCCCCCACTTCCAAAACTTATCCTTCCTTCCATGTCTCGCCCTTCAGGAGGACACTTTATCGGGTATTGGCAACCAATTGGGCTTCCCTAGTAAAATCACGATAAAGAAATAAACTCACAATGCTTTCAACCCCCCCCCCAAAAAAGAGGAAGTTAAAAAATCTTTCGTTTTAAGAATTATGCACGGGTGTCATGCTGGACAAAAAAATGAAAATGATAAATCAATTAAGTCGTAATAACTTTTGAGTCTTTGCTCTTAATTTTCCATACTTCCAACAAAAAATCAAAACTGTCCCAGTACATGTAGTGCACATATCTCCAATATGCGGCTATTAAGCAACGCTACAAACCATTTTAACATTAGCTGGGGTTCAGAATAACACATCAAAGGTCATTTCAAATGGATTCAATTATTGAAACATAAAAAGCATGAAACTTTTGCAAAAGCATCATAAACACCTGTGGATACATTAATTTCGTCACGTGATCAACTCTTTCCATATGTTATTGTTATAAATACTCTACCGGTGATGCATTTACGTGTATTTATCTCTCCAGCTGTCCAATTTTTATGCGTGCTCTTTTTCATGAGATTGTTTTCCGATTCACAGATATGCTGTCCTCTTTAACTATATTTTTACGTAGCTTTAAATGCATGCAATAAATTGAGCTAAAAAAAAACTGGTGGCGTTCGGAAAAAACACATACTCGTAAAACTTGCAAAAAACTCTGTTTAATGTCAAATATGTGGGTGGCACTTTCTAAGGCGTGGCAGCAAAAACTGGTCACAGTCGTGCGAAGCACTGCTATGTACTGTGCATGGTATATAATGCAAAAAGCAATGCAGGTAGTTATCTGGTGCTATTTACCGAATGTTTTTTTTACTCTTTGGTCCATACCTGCAATATTCTGTAGCCCGCACACTGGCTGATGTATGAAAAGTATACTGTCAAATGTGAATAGGAGGCTTGATAAATCGTGAAATGTTGATTTATGATTATTTCCCGGATTGGTGTTTGCATTCATCATGGGCTTGGTAACGTAACGGCGAGTCTTTTCACTGTAACTTATTTTGGCTGTTTGATCGCTGCCCCAAAGTGTGTACACACAACTTACTTCATACAGGTTAACTCGTGAGATATGCGCGCACTGCGCCACAGCTGTTCACCGTGAGACCTTTCTTGCGTTACCGTATATTGCAGTTCTCCTGTTTCGAAGCCCTCGTGATATTTTTGCCAGCAAGCGGCTGCTAAAAGTTTGGCTGGCCGTCATTACAGTGGTAAATAGAATGGTTTACTAAGTGATAGAAAATCTCATACTGTATGCAAAACATGAGGCATCGAAATTAGTAATAAACACTACTAAATTCTGAATTAAAATATGACCATCTTTAAACTTTAAAGGTTACGGGGCTAATGCTCATTTTAGGTAAAATCTGAAACCAGAATAATAACGTGTGCGTGCGTTTACCACCCATATAGGCAAAATGAGAAGATTTCTATAAATCACAATTGTAGTTTCTACCTACCAGTGGTTTGCAAGCTATGACTAGCGTCAACATCTCACGCAAAATCAAAACACGAAATAGAAATTTCTATTCATACAAAATCAAATGCCATTTTAGACCAAACCTGTACCAACCACTTTCTGCAGACTGGGACCGCCCACAATATGGTAGGCAATTAGAAAGGAGTCTTTCACGAGAAGGTATATATTTGGCAGACTGTCAGGCTTAAAATACTCCCCATTATAACGTTATGAAGGTTTCAAACAAATTAATTATTTAGTTCGTGAAATTATAAATAATTATGTCAATAATAACGGGAGGGTTCTATTGACTTCCCAACTTCATCAATAAAACATCGGGCTACCTCCAGTAAATTGGATAACCCAAGTCACCTTATATTGTATTTCGACAACCAGAATTAGAAGCCATTTTTGCGGCGGCACAACGCTCGTGGACAGGTGGTACGAGCGCGTTACATGCCTCTTCGACCAATAGGATATCGTGATTTGCCAAATGTACGCGCGCGTCGAGCTGAAGAATGTGCGTGCCGTGCCACCGCGGTTATGACGTTCTGGTCAGGGGCTTGCTCCAAAAGTGGTGTGACAACGCGGATTTTTCCCCTCACTTTTTTCCCTAGAATACGTATAACGCGCGATATAGATCGCGACTGGATGCGTACGTACCGCCGCTACCAACACTGATAGAAACTCCCCCCACTACTGTTTAAAAGCTTTTTTCTGCCTGAAGATGTGCACAGGACATAAGACCATATCGTTTGCCATATTGGTCGGATCAGTGTTCATTTTGTTTGTATATAGCGATGCGACAGTAACGCGTGCATTTTCCAAGTCGTTCGTGGACCAGCGAAGTGTAGTTCCGACCAAAGGAGCCTCTGTTGCTAAGAAAGTTCCTGCCTTTCTTGGTCCAGCTCGAGGCTCATAAATAACAATTTTAAGGATAGCTCGAACTCTTTACTGATTAGAAAATTGGATTCGTTTTGGAACAGTTTGGAATGGATTGAATAAAAAGTTGGAAAGATGCACAATATTAGGTATATACTAGAGGATTTACTAACCGTGTGGAGAGTCACACAAGGCTGAAATCCACAATGAACGAGATTTTGTAATGAGGTTTACAGAGATGTTGTGCACTAAACAGGGGCATGCAATATAGCCTTCAAAATGATGTGAAATCATGCATGGACGGTAAGTGGAATGGGACATAATTTATCGCAAAAAATGGAAAACTTTTGTAATAGGTATTTTAAATAACTATTTATTGAGCACTCGTCTGGGCAGTCTTAGTGCTACAAGTATAATTGTTGGATGGCGAGTTTCTGTATTGCCGAAGATGTTAGGTCGCTACCGCAAATAATTTGTAAATGATAACTCTACTGCACCTTTTGAAATGAGAAACCTGACAAACCTTGGAATCACCAAGGGCGCTCAAGAAACAAGTTTTCCTGGAGGGCAAATTTTTCTCGGGGGCCAGAATGTGAGAGTTCTTTGTGAACCCTTTATTACGCCTGCTCCCACCCCTCGATCCGCCATTGGCTCCAAACTCCATCCACTTTTTCCATTGGTTCTTTTAAACTTTTCCTCCCTTCCGTCCAGAACATGCCGAAAACATTGCTTCCTTCCTTGTGAGTCCGATCGATGTCCACTTCCGTTCTTCAGAATCACATAAGCTGTATACATTGTGGCAAATATATACGCAGCAAAATGCTTCACTTACCAGCGGGAAAAGTGACGCAGAGAGCCAAGAGAAACACGGCGAGGGGCCTCACACGACATGCCATCTTCCTTGACGACGACAGTGAATAGAATGGCCTTAGTAAGTCCAAGCATGAGGTAATTAATGGTCCGAGGAAGTGTCCCCTCACGGCCCGCGATAATCACCAGGTTAGAAGTCGCCACTGCGTTTATTTTCCTGTGAGGGTGTCCGCGCTCTTTTGCGACCCGCTATTTCTTTTTTCGGTTGACTGCAAATTAATTACCTTGCCACGGCGATTCTGCGATGGTGAAGCAAGACTCGCTCCTAGTCCTCCGCTTGGCTGTTTTGGTCCCAATCCGTCGAACATGACACGCTCTCTCGTCTCTGACGGGTCTGATTCCCGGCAGGCGGCGCGGCGCCAGGTTAACATGACTGTGTGTACTTGCCTTAAGATCAGGGATACCTCCGAGGCGGCCAGAAATTCAGAGAGTGGTTTTATTTCCCAGCGTTGAATAATTTACGGTCCATTTCTGGCGTTTTTCCGCAACTGACTTGGATCAGAGAAAATATTTCCAACGACTGGATAAAACAGTCTACATCAAAAAAGCCGGTGCATTGTGTTGCGTTGCAATGACGCGTGAATGTTTCCAGTATGGCACCTAAAATGCAGTAGCCTGAACATCTCTTGTTTGGATTTTGCAGTATTGTACATCCTACATTGTTTGGCGAGTAAATACAGAAATGTGAACTTGAACGTTAAGTGCTGGCCACTCTGCTCATTATGCGTCGCACACCGTTCAAATGCATTACCTATAGCTTCACTGACAGCCTTTCTTGGCTAACTTAGGCAAATGACAAACCATGCCAGTTAACTTGTGATCGCTTGATGTAGACTGTTTACTTTGATAACTACAATGCATGTGATTGACCATTTCATATAACATAAAAATACCACCACTTCGATTTTAAGATATTACATTGATTGAGGCAATTACCATCTTGACTAGAATTCTACTCCCTTATTAAAAATTCAGCGACAGTCAATGTCAAGCTTCCTGGCAAACGCCATTGCGCAAATACACAAGACCTCTCGCAGTGCATTCGTTGTCCCAGCGAAAACGTCGAAGGTTGTCAGTTCCATGCTTTATCAATTAATCAGAGAGTTAATGACTTGGTGAAAAGTCACAGTCATAAGGGAATCACGCCGTCCTTCGAGCATAGAAATTCTTAGCGCAGTAAAATGCCGCTTGGAACAGGTCGCACATTAGCAACGCCCACATGTTAATTCTCTTTCAATTAAGATCATCAAAATTTTCAGCCTTGGAAAGCCTTTCAGGCAAAATAGCCCATCTGAAAATAAAACATTAAGATGTAGTGTGGGCGTCAGATTCTTTTCCCACCTTGGACAGGGGAAATTTCCTTAACATGCTTTTCTATGGTGGGCAAGTTTAAAAATCGGACTCCAGTCACATCCATAATGATGACAGGGAATGGACGATAACGTTGTTGTGACTTGATCACAGCTCGGCTTTCTAGGTCAAGCTGCGGGTGAGTTTGAGGGAGGATTTTGATTGCATTTTATTTTTGCCATCACTTGGTGACAGCAATATCCGGTTGGTCTGATTCCAAAGCGTACGCAAGATGTTTACTAGTCTGTATGCATTTCAAGTGAACAATGAACAACCATTCTAATCAGCTAAATAGCAGCCTTTAACCATATTAAAAAGAGCCGGCCCGGCATGGTAACCCCCCCACACACACACACACTCACACAACTTTTCTCCGATATTGTCTCTATGCATTTTTCCCACGCCGAGCCTTCATGAGTTTTCCCACAGATTTCTTAAAATCATTTTGGCATCAATAAATTGGAGAAAATTGGGAGTACTGGTGCTCACTTCCCCTGCAGTTAAACCAAACCATAATGTCAACATTTCCAAGCGACGTGCTTAAATGGAGATAAGTGACAATAACGACAAAACAAGATGTGGATTAAATTGAAACTTCACAGATGCATTCATAATGAATATCTTAGGGAGGGTTGAAAAATACTGGGCATGGGACAGAAGAACCCCCCACCCACCCACCCAACGCTGTGACATTGGCCAACAAAACGTCTGCTCTTTATGTGTTAGTAGCACGTCGTATTTATTTCTAGATAAGATATTTACGACATTACCGAAGAGGGCACGGGAAACTGTTTGACATGAGTGGAGTAGGTACCGTATAGACCTAGGGCAGCGGGACAGTTTTGACAGTGGGGGCGATTCTGAGACCATCAGCCATTAATAGGCCTATCCATTAAGCTCTGTCCCATTATACGACCTGCAAAAAGTGGGGGCCATGTCCTCACAGTCGAAAAAGTGCGGAGGGGGGGCTCGATTCCGCCGCCAGTGGTGTTAACGTTCTTTGATGCGCAAGCCTTAACCAACATCCACTAAATGTTAAAGGTGAAGGCTTTGCTGGTAAATCTGGTAAAATCCATTGTAAGACCAATATAGAACTGCAAATTCAGTAGGACCTGAACCACTTGCGCCCATACGAAGCCTGAACACTCACACACACAAAAAAAGAGTTGCAGAAAAGTGCGCCCTCGTTTACATTCCTGTCCTGTCCTGCATTCCTCAAAGTGCCATATGAGGGCGCAATTTCTTTTCCATGGTCAGAAACTACTGACCTGGGTCAGTTTTAGCCAATCCGGGTAGAGCCAGTCCATAGGAAGTCATGGGAACTGAATGAAAAAAGCTTAAGAAGCCTTGTTTTACGTGAACTAGCTCTAACGGTGCCAGGTGTACATGGGTCCCTTTGCTCGTCGGCGGAAAGTATTTTCGTACCTGTGGCAAAAACCAGAAGGCACAGGTGCTAACATTTCCTTGTGAATAGACTATTACGGTATACACCGCAGAGCTTCAAGATTCGTGATACCTCCCCCGGTACCCCTTCCATCCCCCAAAATATACTTATTCTGTAAAAGTGGTCGAAATGAACAAATTAGCAATTAAAAAATGTTCAAAAATTGCAGAAAGATTGCTTCGCCGATCAAATAGGATTCTTGCCTGTTTACGAATGCTAGCAGGAGTTTAAGGAACCGGGAGCGGACACGCTGATGTGCGTCTGTTGTAATAAAGAAACCTGAAAACAAGAAATGAGAAGATGGGAGATATAAGAACAACTACTCCTGAACTTAATTTGAAGTAGAAACAGCTGCCTGTGCATAGCTGAAACACACAACGCACCTACAATATATTTGCATAATACAGACGGATTTTTGCGATGGATGGCAACCCATGATGTTCAACGTTTTATATGCTTTAATAATTACCAGTGTTGAAGTCGAGACCAGGACAGAGACGCGTGACGTTTGAGATCTTATTGATAACTTGCTCTCAGTAATTTCTCTGGACAAAATTGTCACCTCCACTAATTGTAAACTCCTCGCATTCCCCCAAACATTCTACCTTAATACAGTTTTTCACCTTTGAGAATTTATTTAGAACATTTTTTCTAAATTAGGAAAAAAATTTCGTGCTAAAATAGATTCACTTTAAAAAAAAAAACATGAGTTATCGAATCATGCCTTTGCAAACATTTCTCCGAAGTAATCTGTTTTTCATGAAATTTATTAAACATCTCCAGTCATGTTTGTTTTGCTTATACTGAAACAGTGTAGTGTTGTTTTATCATGTCAACTACTATCCATCCTTTTATTCCATTTCAATTTTCAACTTTTACGCAAGTTTTATTCAAGTTTTGCTCAACTGTATCTTTCCAGAATTTGACCAAATTCGTCGACAGATAATATTAAAGCTCTTCAAGCGTTTGATCTAGCGCCCTCACTAGTTCAGTAGCGATTCGGCCAACCTGCAGCATGCGCACGATATGCAGCTGTTTTCACAAAACAGAAGGTGCCGGGTGTGTGCGCTAGATGGTGGGTTGAATGGTGACACCTTGTATATCAAGTCCCAAAACACCTCAGCATGATCATGTAATCATCAGAGATCACGAAGGCCAACATCGTCTGAGAGTTTTGAGGATGTGCAACACCCAATCTTCATCGAGCAGAATGGGCGCTGGAAACGCTCGGTAGGATGACGGGATGGGAGGTCGCGAATGGACAAGGTAATTAGACCATTACCAACGTGGGCTGTTTGTGTGTTGAGACATAATGTACCATACGTGCGAATTGATCTTGTGTTGGCATGATTGCGTACACCCAATTTGAAAGTACCTGCAGGACCTGTATTACCTTTCACTAGAGCTAGTTATTCGAGAGCCTAATCTTCCGTGAAAAAGATACAAATGATATGTTGTAGAGCAATGTTATTTATGTTCAATGTTGATTCGCTTGTGCTAATGCAGACCGTGTGTGTTGTAATTAATAGACCTAGTATGCGTTTGAATTGAGTTTATTCATCATGTTACACAGTTTTGGTCACCCAGTTTTTGTCTTTTGTGGTTTTTTGTTTTGTTTTTGAGCCAAGGAAAACAGTCCATTAATTATTCAAAGAGAGTTCTGTATCTCACCACAGCAACTCTAGAGTTTGGCACACACCTAGACTAGTTCTAAAATCTGACCTGAACAAACTTTGCCTCAGATAATTTCAGTTTTTCTCAAACTGAGTGGACGTGTCCTTGAAAATACAAGGTGAGGTAGAACTGTCATGTTTGAAGGCAAGTACCAGTACTTGGCCTGACTCTTACAATTATTCTTGACCAATACAATTGTAAATTGTTGAACAAGTGTTGTAAATTATATTTTGAGGTAGAAATGAAAGCTAAGAGTAAAAACAGATCAATATCTTATACATATGACCTTTGAAATCATATGGGGAAGAAAATTACATGTACATGTATTAAAAGTGCATTTACTCAAAGTGGAACAGTGAGAAAAAGATGTCCACTTCATGAACAAAGTTTGGTTCGTGGTCACATCCTGTCCAGTTCAGCCATGTTTTGAAACTGCTCAACTTGGGAGGTCATAGCAGAAGCAGTGATTTGTTAATGTGTGTGTTCACATCCTTCCTATTGATATCAGTCCGGATAATAGTGGTTTGACATGTTCACATCAAAAGTGACACTCTGATTTCTAAATCCGGTATTGTATTGAAGGCACACTGTATGCTATGCAAAAAAAGAATGAAAGAAACGGTTATGTTTTTTATTTTTCATTTTACTGAACCCAGGTTTGTGGGAAACATTGGTCATCAACAGATCTGACGATAAAAAACTCACAGGGTTATTTTGAAACTTTATGCATATTAATGAGTTTCAAACCTATTTTCTGAAGTCACTTGTGTTTCATAAATGGTGTACTGGTGGTCTATTTTCTTACATCAGTCTGTGTACAGTGTACTCAGAGACAACTCTCATTGAACATTGCTCATACACTCTATAAACGTCATACCAAGTTTCATTTTCAATGGTGAGAAATAGTTGTACATGTGTCAGTCTCAATGGGAATTTAATAACTACATTTTAGGGCTGAGGGAATTTGAATAATTTACTATTTGAGTATTTGATTTTCAATTTGATTGAATATCTTAACATTCGGTTGCACCGACTGGCAGATTGTTGATGAACAACCTATATACAAAATCAGTAGTAATAACACACAATTGTGATCAACATTGTGATCAATATAATAGCTTCTCACATCTAGGAGCATCTCCAGGTACAATTTAGCAAGATTTAAGAGACGAACAAGACTGCTGGCCCTGTTTAAAATTTTACATGTATATTCCTTTTAAATCGTTTATTGAATAATTACTTTTTTAATCGTTGTGACATTTCTTACACTTTTCATTAGAATCTGCTTGAAACAAGCCTCCATAGTGTAATTTGTCATGAATTTTCCGGATTCAAATATTCAAATTCGAAAAACAATATTTGAATATTCGACAATCAATCAAATATTCGGTTATTTGGATATTTGGTATAGCCCTTCTACATTTTTTTAATCAAGATAAAAACATACTTGGTTAAAAGAGCATTCAGTGCACTCATGCACGTTATCAACAAACAATTGTTTTCTTCAATAAAAATTTTCATGTATTGCCGAGCACACTTTTTCATCCCCCCCCCAGAAAGACAAGGACACAGTACATTGGTCACGTGATCCATCCGGGAAGCGTACATGTACATTGATTCAGCAAGATAGGAACAGGCTGGGGTTGAATTTCCCTGGGTTCAAAAGTATGCTTATGAGAGGAAACTGGACAAACTGGTTGACTCATTTGAATTTTTTTTTTCATTTGAATCACATGTGACTTGACTCAATACAGGAGGACTTGCGGTGGACTTGGAAGGTATTGGAAGAATTTGATGACAACACTTGCAAATTATGAGACAAAAAAGCAGGTTACAACATCTACTGGGTTGATTTCTTTCCAGTGCCGGAATCAGTTTCTTCCACGGGTGCACAATGCTCCTTTTTCCCCAATGATTCACAAGGGTTTATTGATTCAAGAACCACGAGTTCCTGGGCCTGGCTGGGATGTCTCCCCGTCATAGGGGAGTGGTCTTTACCTCTAAGGAAGGGCTTTCCTCATTCTCAGGAAAACTCAATCCATTTAGGATCCGTTCACTTACTGGCAGAATGACATCACTGCTGCCTTGCCCTCTTAAAAAAAAGATTTCCCCACAGTCGCTCTGTATAAAAGGGGTCACACCAGTGTCTAATGAAAAAGTGTCTGGGGAAAAAAACACAAAAAGTGTGTTAAATTTGCCCACTTTGGCCAACTCTGATTTGACCTCATTAGTTTGCTGAAGAGGAAAAGGTTGGTGAGTCCACAAAAGATTGTCTGATTAAAAAACAGCACCTAACCCCTTATCGGCACCTAACCCCTTATCACTATATCAGCAGCGAATGAGTTTGTTGTGTCCTTGACACGATAAAATATCACAGGCTCATTTTGGAAGGCAGAGGTACATGTAATGGCCACTTTGTGTTTGCTCTGCGATGCTTCCGTTCTTATTTGAAGTCTGTCCTTTACTTGTAACTTTTGATTTGTAATCGTGAGATTGGGTTGTGCACATGTCCTTGTTAGCTTGTAAAAAAGGCATATGTACATCAGTTGCTTGTCTTCAGTTCCTTGTTTCATGGCTGAGCCTTCGTTTTGGTGTGTTTCTTTACTCTATGGACTAAGCACCTGGCAGTATGCCAGTAATGAACAAACGGTTGTCTGGTGAATGGGAGTTTTGACCACACTGTCAGGGATACCTCTTTTGTTCAGTTTGGTCGCGGCCGGTTGAACAAGGATGACTGTTTGAAGCTAGATATGGGACGGAGAGAAACCCCCCCCCCTTTGTGTTGGTCATTGTTTGGTCAGAATCTCAGGAATTCTTTACAGACTTCTAGGGGGGGTTAGGTAACAATAGTCTAGAGTGCATATAGGGATTGGACAGGTAAGGGGGGTACCCCTCCGTCCCATATCTTGCCTGGTATAGGGATGACCATGCTGCCTCAGGGACTGCAACAGCAAGCAATCTCTGTGAGGGCCAGCTAAAAACCCAGTCAACAAAAGCGATTGTGTCTGCATTCATTGGGCTTAATCTGTTTCAAACTTCTCCTTATCCAACTTGGTTTGGTGCATCCTCAATCAGTTTGGTTCTGACCTGACAGCCCCACCTGAGAGTATTCAGCTGAGTAGTGGAATAAGTCTATGGTGCAAATCTGTATTAACATGTTCTACATGTACTTACATGTGTACTACTACATGTAAGGCAGTACGTAGTACATCGGGTAAGGGCAAAACCTGTTGGTAAGGGCAAAGCCCTTTGGTAAGGGCAAAGCCCTTTGGTAAGGGCAGAACCCGTAATGATAATTAAAATGTCCTTAAGGTTAGGAATGCTTTCTGGTTCCAGATCTCATAATAAAAAATTGCTCCTTGGTTTTTTTTTTTCATTGGTAGTGTGAAAAATGGGCCGTAACGGTTTCACTGATCACCAGGCCATATATGATATTGGAGGATTTTGGAGAGTAAGGGGCACTTTCCCCTTGCTAATTTGTGAGCGCTATTTACTGAGTTCAGCTTTGTCATAATCTGAATCCAATGATATACACTGTAGTATTAGCAAGTGACAAAGATCCGCTTTGATGTGGCAGGTTTGTCTTCACTGATCAAGCGGAACTGCTGACAAGTAACGCCAGCGCAGCCTCTGGGTGTCCTGTGTGCAGTCAACCGCCATTATGACGACTTCAGCTGCTGGCGTGGACGTAAACATTTGCTGCTGTGTGAGCCAGTTCACAGAACTAGCGCCAGTCACGCAGTTTTGTTAGAAACAAAAGATATTTGTAGATGGAGGAACCTGCAGGACGCACGTGTATAAAAATGGGAATTTAGGGAACCGAAGATTACAAGTGACCATAAAGTTGAAACTGGCTGCCGAAATTTTGCAGCTGCATCAAGTGGTAATTTAGACGAGTGTCCTGTCCCAAAACAAAGGGACTTTATTTTTGTCGGAGCATATTTTGTTGTTGAACCATGAACTCCCTGCATAGTCTTGGTCGGGATGGCTCCCGCACACCGGACTTTGAAGACCCGTATGACACACGCTATGAGACCAAATGGGAGGCCACCCCCATCAAGCCATTCAAGACCCAAACCGAGTACCTCTACGCCATGGTGGAAGACCTGGCTGAGTGGCTCAACAATCTCTACCACCTGGACATCACCCCAGACAACTTCTTTGAGAAATTGGAGACGGGCACTGTCTTGTGCCAGCACGCCAACAATGTGCGAAGGGTAGCCCAGGAGTACCGGCAGATCCATGGCCGGAGCGAGAAGGACATTGTCATCAATGACAATGACATCAAGTTCCGAGTGGACGCCAAGGAGGGCTCTTTCAATGCTAGAGACAACATCAGCAACTTCATCACCTGGTGCCGACACTGCCTGAACATCAAGGACGTCTTGCTCTTTGAGTCGGACGACCTGGTGCTGCGGAAGAACGTGCGGAGCTTCATCCTCTGTCTGCTGGAGGTGGCACGGCGGGGCAGCAAGGTGGGAATGCCTGTGCCACTGCTGGTGCAATTTGAGGAGGACATTGAGCGGGAGATCAAGGCCGGTTTGATGGAGCGGACGTCCGAGGCCGACTCGGAGCCATCCATTGAGCCTGCTTCTCCCACCAGCTCGGCCGCCACTACAGACGTTGATCACGAGCTGGGTTCTGGCTCTGACGCCGACCACGAAATGGACTCACAGAGATCAGAATCGCCTGATCTCAGCAGCCTCAACGGTAACCACAGCAACAGCCCATCCTCCGTTCCGTCCCGGATGCGAAAAGGAAGTAAGAAATCGCGACTGCCAAAGCCCTTGCCTCATCAGGCACGGTGTCGTGGGTCAGATGGGTACGGCAGTGCCGAAATTGATGTGACAGCTGAACAAGGCCCGCCACCTCAGGTCATGCTGGAACCAGAAGTACTCAAGTCTCTTCATGAAAGGGTGAGTACAGGCCTTTTCTTCCTTTCTTTTCAATGTTTATCCAGAAGTTTGAAAACTCTCCAAACTTTGAAACTGACTTGTTGGATTTGATGTATCATGATTTTATAATTCACTTTGAATGAAAAGGTGATAACAGTAATAGGCCAGAGGAATTTCTTCTTCTGTCCTTTCATGACATACTGAGTGCTACTCAGAGAAAATAAAGACACTGCAAGGAAACTCAACTATTTCAAGGATTCTACTAAAAGTGTTTTGATGAAGTGGAAAATAGCGATGTGATCTGGACTACAGTACATGTAGGTTGAATTTTCTTCAGTGGACATGTTCTTGTACATGTACATAAATGTTTGCATAAATTTCCAAACACACAGCATGTTTTGCTCATTTTCAAAACATAGGAATAATATTTAACATGAACATGTACTGAGGAGAATTAAATAACAAGCTGACAAATGAACAAACAGAAAACACAGGCGCAGCAGAATAAAGCCAGACACATGATACTGAAATACATGTAATCAACAGCAAATTAGGCAATTATTTCATTGCTAGCTACATGTAGTCTCATTTTCATGGGAAAAGGTTTTTGGGTCACTGACTGCACATCAAAGCGTACTGTGTGAAAAGGAAAAAATATCCAGGAATATTAATCGACCGAAACCCAATAAACCTGGGATACTTGGTGTTGAATAACCGTGGTAACGCAGCCACTCAAATGACAGATTGTTCACAAAATGGGCTTGTCTTCAGAACCACCTGCTGTGTCTTCAAGGAGATCTCTGCCCACTAGAGTATTAGTCTTCAATACATTTAATAACAAAAAAAATTACCTGCGTTTCTGGTTTTCTGCCCCAACCGAACCCATTAAATCATGACGAACTTAATTTTTTGAGTTTGAAATAATAACATCCTACATATACATGTACATGTATGCTTCAGCGTGAAGGGGGCAGCATAGTCACTTTTAATGATTTCTAGTTCAGAAGATTTTGGGTACATGTACCTGTGCATGAAATTTAGTTTCAACCTCATACACATTTCTTGCAGCAGTCACAATGTACAGTACCTGTATAAACCCTTCTGCAGCGGGAAACATACTAGTTCTTCTCTTGCCAATTGCTCAAAATTACACTGTTTAGAATATTTGCTATTCGCTTGTGGTGGCAACTTGCAGCTGGAACCCCACTTTCAAAAGGGATTAATGTGCCTCTTGTTTCACACATGCACCTGTAAATTGTTTTTGTAAACTTGCTTATGATTGCTATGGTGGCATTGCACCATTCACAGTATCATGGTTGATATTAACATACTATCAAGGTGTACTGTACCAGGACCTGTTCTTGGCTTGGCCATTAGTGCCCATAAATTACAAAAATCTGATTATCTTCAAAATGCAAGTTTAATTCCTTCTACCTGTGTGTGTGTGCGTAGGGGGGTGTGTGAACCAGGTGTCAGATAGGAAGCAAAGTTTTGGCAAAAACAATCCCAGCAGGTATTTCATGAGACTGTAATGTGTTCTGAGTATTTTTCCCTTCTGAAAAAATGCATCAGAAAAAAAAGTAGAATTCTTTAGTTTTATGTCTTGAATTTCTGGGGGGGGGGAGAAGACACCGGATACGTTTCAGAGAGTTGGACCATGGATAGGGTGTCAATAGAGCTGTACATGTAGTTTGTTACCTACTTTGTAGGCCATCAGGAGGCTGGTACTGGGGAGTTTGCTTTGGTTTCCCCGAAGTGTAAAGGATACTTAAAAGGTTAAATTGGAGGATTGTAGATTTTTATGAGCCTAATAAGATGCTGATGCTTAGCTAAGGTTTCATTGAAAAGGCCATTAAATGTGCCTTCTATGAATACGAAACGAAGTGGGGTTACAGCCTAAAATGTCAAGTTGGCCAGTAAAAATTCCTTTGAGAAAGTGAAAACTTTGACATATATTGTGGTTATCATAGCCGCATGTGTAGCCCTGTTGGATTCAAACTCCTATGTGAGCAACCAATAGTCAGGTCTCAAAGGTGTTTGTGCATTGTTGAACTATGCCAAAGTTTCACCCTGGAATTTAAATGATGGGTAAATATTAGTTTAAAATTTGCTGTATTTGCTTGATGGAGTCCAGTCGCTTTGCTTTCAAAACAAGGCCATTGAGTTGAAAATTTCAATGGGCTTGCTTTGGGAGTTGCGAACAGAAACCTTCTATGGGGTAAAGGTCTGAATGTCAAGTACGGGTGGCCAGGGCGCTACCTCAGGGCTGGTCCAAGGTGGGTTACTTTTGTTATTGATTTGTTGGCCCCCATAACAGCTACTGGAGATAAAAACTCGGTAACCAAACAGGGAAAGGTGTGAAGCCAAACAATAGGGGAATGGGAAATGGCAGGCAGAGGGTCCTGTGGGAGTCAACATGGACTCTGGCTGGTGCAACCTTGCTGTGAGGCTCAGACCATTTAACAAGCAATTTTATTATTAGTTGTTGTTGGAGAGAATGGATATCACTTAGTGGGTTTGTTGGCATACTCTATTGCTGAGAGTGTAGTACATGGTTTTTTGGCATTCTTCCAGTTTCCATTATTGTCTCATGGAGGGGCGAGGCAGAGCTCAGTGGGGAGCGGCTGACTTTAGATTAAAAGGTCTTGGGTCTGTTTGCTCTCTGACCCAGAGTTGTCAGTGTGGGTCCTCCATGGTTTCCACTAGACTAGTACTCTTTTCTTGGGTTTAGATTTTCATAGATGTACATGTATAATTGCACTGGGAAGGGGTATTGCAAGGAGGGCACTTGATCCCCCGAAACAAATTCAAAAATAAAAAGGGAAGAAGTAGAAGAAAAAGAAAAGACATGAAAGGGGATGAAAATCACCTAGTTGCTTAAAGAACCTCAAACTGATGTCCCTTCCACTGATGTTTATCCGAAAACATTTGTCTAGTTCATTCCTGATAAGCTGTTTGTTCCTTCCTCCCCCCTTCCCCTGGAAAAATCCTAGCATTGTGATGAATACATGTACATGTATTTAAAGCAAACCTCTTTTACTTCAAACTACATGTTCAATAATGTATTAACCTGTGACACATTTTTTAAACCCATTCAGCGTCCAGTTTATTTATGATACTCTTACCAGAAAAATTGTCAAATGCTGTACAGTATCTCTGATGAAATCATTTTCTGAAATGTGTATCATAAATGAATTTGTTTAGGTAATCAGTGCTGAAGATTCCAAACCAACCATTGTAAAAATTGAGTAGATCTTGTATTCGTTGAATCCATGAAGTTTGAAGTTTTGTCTGTACGATTCATATACATACCATTACATTGTAATTGAGCTCCATAAACCGGTATGTCAAACTTAAGTGATGGAACAAAGTGCACAGCATGTTCATTCATCAGAGTAAAAAAAGGGGGGGAAAAGTGTTTCTGACTCATTTTGATGGATCCGGAAATCAGAGTCTTGTCACAAATGTACCAATGCCATACCATCATACATGTAGCTCCAGGCAAACAGTTAGCACACCATCCAATCATCCCTGACCCCTTCTTTCCAAATTCCATTATATTTCAAGCCAAGCATTGCCCTATTCAGTGCTGCTACCGCCATTTGGGAACATTGAATGAGAGCGAATTGATATTTTGCCAAGCTGCTCTTGCCCTGGGGCCGTACAACAGAATTCCCTATTCAGACAGTCATTCTTGACAAACTGTCCCCCGTTCAGCTTCTTGTTGTAACTTTGTGATGTTTGCTTCTGCCCTTCTGTGGCAGAATTTTTTGACCTTTAGGGCTTTTAATTTTTGGGGGGAGGGGTACAATTTGTGAGAGGTTTCATGAATGCAATCTCTTGAATACTTGTAGGTGTACAGTCTTGAATTTCAACTTTCAATGGACCATTTCAAACGAATTTCTACCAGGGATTTGTGATTTTGCAGTGAGGATAAATCTACATGGGGAGAGGTTTTCTGTTCTAACTTCTTGTACACTGTACCAAAAGTCACTAATATTGGACATTATTCTACATGTACTTGCTGTTATCTTGCACAAATCTTTTTTTTTTCTGAATCCTTTGTAAATTGAAGAAGGCCTGCATTTCATTCTGTTCAGCAACCATACTGCACAATGTGCAAACCAGTAGGCTCACGCGTACATGTACATGTACATATATTCTGATACCGACATACATGTACGTGTAATATACTCTGTGGTTATAATGTAGTAGCATATTCTTTCAAGACACCTTTTACCAACATTACTGATTTTCAATTTTTTTTTACGTAGATCAGCTTTTAGCCAGAAATGTTACTTCTTGCTACGGTACATGCACAAGTTTGCATTATGACAACCTTTCCCAGAAAAATACATGGATTGTACACTGTACGTGTAAGGTTGAAGCACACACCCGCAAATAATTATTCTCGGTCACTCAAAGACGTCACAGCAGTCGTGTCTGTCGTTGGATCACTCGGCCGTCTGGCTACTTGCATCTGCAGAGAGGCCTATTTTAGTGGAACACTGGAATATTCTGTTGAGTGATGTCGGTCTTTGCCGCAAGGTTTAGCATAAGTTATTGGCTCGTACATGTAGGGCGCGATTGAGTGATTCCAGTAGCCAGATGACTGGTGTACATGTAGGTTTCAAATTCCTACACCATGACAAAATTTTAGTCTTGTCTTTTCAGTGAAATATGCACAATTATGTGCCAGTACCTGCATCTGAGGATTTACTTCTATACACTGTAGGACTCTTGTGTCTTACGGGGCACAAGCTCGTGAACAGTGGGGTAAGAATTGTCAGAATTTTTCCTGATTTCAGGATTTTTCAAACAATATCTTTTGAAATCTGGAAAATCCCCAGTTTACTGTTCAAGGTGTTTTTATGCGTAAAGATTGATATACATGTAGAACACAAGAAAATGGTATTTTAAGGAGTGCCTGTAGGCAAACACAGAAGTACATCATAGACCCTACACTGCCAGTTTATCCTCATACCCTCCAGTGATTATTTCCATGGATACAAGTATTCAAA